GGGGGGGGGGGCGCATTGGGGGGGCGAAGAAGGAAGGTGTGAGGGGGCAGCTCGCGCATTCGATGAAGGACGCGTGCGCAGGGAGACGGGGCGGCAGGGAGCTGGTGCCTTTCTGGCCACGCGGGCACGCCGGCCGCGGCGCTGCGTGGCGCGACTGCGGAGGGGCGGAGCGGGCCGGTGGGCGCACAGGGGTTCCAGGCGAAGCGAGGGATGCCTGGCTGCTTGCTGCGGCTCATAAGACGCTCCGACTCAGCCGGTGCCACGCCCTGCCCGGCCGCGCGGTGATGTATATATATATTATATTTTTTTTATCTATATACAACGAGACTCGCTAACAGCCCCCTTGAGGCACCAAACCAGCGGCAGCGCGCCGACCCAGCACAACGCAGCGCATCACACCCATAGGCTCCAAGCCGCTCTTGACACTCTCCCACAGGCCCAGCTTCTGTCCAACAAAACCAAAACCCCAAGCAGGCGCGCGCCGCGCCCCCACCTCGTCCTCTGCTGAGAGGTGGTGCGCCGCCGCGTACTCGGGGTCGGCCGCGTCCAGCAGCCGCCGCTGCTGCTGCCGCTCACGCGCCAGCGCTGCTCGCCCCTCCCTGCGGGTTGCATGGGTAGGGAGAGGGGGAGGGGGGTGGTGCAGCAGCTCACGTGCCGAGACGGGTGGGGGGCAGGCCAGTGCGGACAGACGGCCCCGATGGCCTGCCGCCGCCTCCTTGTCTCCCTCCTCGAGGCTGAGCTGCCCTCCTCGCGAACGCAGCCGCCCCTATCATAGGGGAGGAACATGATTTTCCTATAGCCCAGGACTCCCCGCCAGCCTCCAAGCCCCTCAATCCACCGACCAACTCTGTGATGCGCCCCCCGCACTCACACCCACGACACAACCGTGGAGGGTGACCCTCCAAACCAGGTGCCCAACACAAGAGTGCACAGGCACGCCCCCCCCCTACACACACACACACACACACACACACACACACACCTGGCGTCTGCCGCCGCCTCCTCGTCTTCCTCGTCTCCCTCCTCCAGCCCCTCCTCCCCCGTCTCGTCCCCACCCTTGTCGCCGCCCGCGTCAGCGCCCCCGTGTGACGCCGCCAGGGCGCAGTGGCTGCCCACTAGGTCATGGAGGTCCTGGGGGAGGGGGTGGTGAGGACGTCATGGTGTCTCACGGTTTATTGAACAGTCGGTGTTGGGTCACGCCTTGGCATGGTGTGGTTGGGCGGGGTGGCGTTCCCCCACCTGCGGGGTGGCGTTCCCCCACCTGCGAAGTTCGCAGGTGGGGGCGATGGTTGCGAGCAAGGGTGGGGCTGAGTCCTGGGGTCAGGAGCGTGGATGTGTCGAGGCGGTCTGCTGGTGGCGATGATTCAAAGGCACTTCTGGGTGAAATTGTCAAAGGGTGGGATGCAGGCTGAACGATGTGGTTATGGCCGGCGCCGCGGGATGGGAGGCTCAGGGCCGGCCGCCCTGGGAGCGCCGGCGGCGGCGCCGCCGCCATGGCGTGAAGCCTCGACCCGTGCTCTGGCTGCGTCATCACGACGACCACAGCCACAAAACAGGAGGGCATCGCAAGCAACAAAAGTCACCCTGATTTGCAACGGGACACCTCGTCGCGCCCACCGTGGCGTCACCAAAGATGCGCGCCGCCTCCGCCATGGCCTGGCTGGCAAACCCGCCGCCGCCGCTCAGGAATGTGTAACCCAGCACAGGTGCCCCTCGCCGCCGAGCGCACCCAGGGCCCACATCATGTCATGTCATCGTCAAAAAACCCGGCGTGTTGCCGCCGCCGCCGCCGCCGCCGCCGCCGCTGCCGCCGCTGCCGCCGCGCAGCCGCCTCTGGCCCCGAGT